GGCCTCCGCCGTCAGTGTCTGAGCAGATCTGAGCAGACCTGAGCCGACACAGGGCCGACAGGTGACGACCGTGCTCCGACAACCTTGAGCGTGCCGTCACTTGGCAAAATTAGTCGGGACCCGTCACAAACGACTAGTGACTACACTAGTACTGACTATTGTTCCGGATTTGAATCTTCCCAAAAAGAAATGCTAGGATCTGCCTAGAGTCCCCCTCTCTCCGTGGCAGTGCCTGGATGACCTCAGGCTCAGCATGAATGTCTGGACGAGGCCCGACTCTCGCAAGAGATCAGAGGGGGCACCCCCGGGTGCAGTGCGTGCAGAGCGCTTGTGCGTCAGGCACTTATTTGACCAGCTCTCCGCCTTACCGGACGAAGGGCCGCCCGGGCCCGGCGGGGCGGGCCCGAAGCCAAACGGAGTGTCTCCCTCTCTCTGTCTCCATATTGGCCAACCCGTCTCACTCCTGTTCCCTCCCGAGGCAAAAGGCCGGGTCGCGCAGGACGCCTTCCGGCTGAGCTTCACTGCAGGGCAATTAGCGGGTCTTGCAGTCATGAAGTGAGACGTGCAATTCAAGTGCCGGCCTGAACATGCCGGATGACATCAAGCAGGCAGGTTTCGGAGGACCTGGTCCGTTCGGCTTTGAGCTTTGACCCCGTCAGAGAGCTTCGTACCATCCAGGATTCAGCGATGCCAGCCCGCCACTGGCAGAGAACCTCCAGGTCCGCACACCACGCTGTGTGTTTTGCTGCTAGCGGCTAGCGCCGTCTGAGTCTGCTTTTGCTCACCCTCCACAGCCGATTTTCAAGTTTTTGCACTGGATCTAGGAATGGAAGTCGGACGTGTTGGACTTGCTGTTCATGGCAGGATGCCCAACTCTAAGGAGGTTGCGCGGTGGAGTTGCCAAACCCTGAGGCACCAGGTGTGGGGCGAAACACGCTGCCGAAGCCTGCTCCTTTTCAGCCTCCTCAGGCTGGCTTACGCTTCAGGTGCCAGTTCCCGCATTTCATGACACCTGCTGTGCCCCGGGACCCGCAGGCTTTGCCACGAGTGGACTCTTCTCATGAGGTCGCCAACCCCTAAAGCCTGCCTTTTCGGGTACGATTTGATCAGCCGAGGCTGACCAGAGCCTGGGGTCAAGTCGATCGAGAGGTGTGCATCTGTGCATCCCTTGCTGCGCTGAAAGAACCTCATAGCCATGCCATGCAATCCTTTCGGGTCGGGTCGCAGGTCACGCTGAGAGCTCCGTCGAGGCACCCGCGTGCTGAAGTGCTGAACGTTGGTCGGTAAGTACAAGTATACAGTATATACGTCTACAGTAGCTGTATACATATAGATCTGTACATGAATGCCTTGTCGCGAAGTTTATGCGAAAGGATCTATTTGGTTAGCGGGGTCTGGTTTTCTACTGTGAAATTGAGTTGTATTCTGCTTGTTGGCGCTGGTATTGCCCTAACCTACAGCGACAGCGCCCGTTAAGAAACAATCAATTTTTCGTGAGGGGGGCTCGATTTCTCGTTTTTGAAGCGCAACTTTTTTAGGAAAAAGCGTTTCGGGATTTGAGGGTACCCTGGATTTCTTAACCCAAATTTGCAACGACAGCAAATAAGAAACAAAACCAAGAAATGAAGGCGCAGCAGGATTCGAGCCCGCAGCACTTTCCATTCCAGCTCATGTGCTTATCCACTCGGGCGTGGCAGCCCAAGACTCCTGAAACGCAACTTTTCCCTAAAAATAAGAAATCGAGCCCCTAAATTTCTTGTTGTGGTGTTTTTTTCCAATATGGCAAAGCTTAATTTATAGGCTCTTACAAAGCCTCCAAAGCCCTCCAAAGCTGTTATCCTGGCCTTATGAACTCCTTATCGAGCTGCATTGAGGCCTTGTTGAGGCCTTAATACAGCTTAGTAAAGACTTCATAAGGCCTTAAAAATGGCTTTGGAGGGCTGTAGACGCTGTGTAAGGGCTTAATAAGGGCTCAAGTGAAGCTTTACCATACAGGAACAAAACCACCAAAACAAGAAATTGTGGGGGCTCGATACTTCTTATTTTGGGGGGTTCATAGTGGCGTTTCAGGACACTGGCGGCTGCCGCGCCCGACTGGATAAGCACATGAGTTTGAGTGGAAAGTGCTGTTGTCTCGAATCCTCCCGTGCTTTCACTTTTTGGTTTGCTTTGTAAGGGTTTGGCACCGAGCTTTTGCAAGCTCCCTTTGTTTCTTGTTTTTTTGCGCGAACAACACCAGCGAAGTCAAAATGAGAAAGAGCAAAATAAGAAATTGGCACGCCGAGTCCAGGGTACCCTGGTTTTCTTATTTTGACTGTGCGCATATATATATATATATATATATATATATATATATATATATATATATTTTTTTTTGTTTATCACGCGGCTGTCCGAGGGCTCAAGTTCTTAAACCAGTGACTTCTTAGGCAGTGGCTTTGCTGTAGCTTGGCACTGGTACTTTGTGACGAGGTGTAGTGTCACAAGTATCCAACCTTATTGTATTAGACTTGGGTCTTCCCTGTACAGTAAACCGTGTTTGGTCAAGGAGCTCTTCTCACGATGATGTTGAAGTTGCAGATTGCTTGGAGAAGCCTCTGTCTTTGGAAAGGTACGCAATGCTTTTCATCCCACTGTGCCCCGTGACGATGCTGTACAACGTCGTAGGGTTGGCGTCGTGATTGTTGGCCACGGTAGGTCACAACTTCTTCATGTATCTGTTTCGCCGCAGGGGCATGCACGTTTTCCAAGTGCTTCTGTCTGACTCCATTTGCTGGTACGACGAGCACAGTTGTTATCAGGACTTTCATCAGTATCGTCATCATCATCATCACCAGCATCATCAGTACAATCATAGTAACTACCGCTATCATCACAACTGAGTCGACAATTATGCGGTAACATGGGCAATCCGTGCTACTGCGCGGTAGCACGGCGTCAGTGCCACGCTAGCAGAGACCTCGTTTGTGATGCCCAGCCCATCCTCAGCAGTGAAGATGCAGAGATGTGAGATTCATGCCACGAATCAAGCCTGACTTCCTGAAACTTCATTTCACCCACGGGAAGCCCTGAAGTCAAGAAGTCTGAAAGCCAATGGGAATGGGATCCAGCCCCGGCCAACTCAGCCGAAGCCTCCCACTCTGGGTGACATCCGACATTGGCATCCAAACGTACCTGTTTCTTGCAACCAACTCTTTGTGACAGGAAGTCAACATGGAGGTGGGCAGATACATTCTAGCGCAACCATGCATAATGCAAGGGTCCACCGCTCGAGCAGGATGCAGATGTCGCCAATGCCAACGCAATCGTTCAGTACAATCTCTGTGAGAACGAGAAAGCTCAGCTCTCAGTCCAGGATATCCAGGATGCCGCATGCAGAGGAAAGCTGTTGATTGCTCTTGAAAAACCAGGTTTGCAAGAAGCTGATATTATCGCAGCATATACGAAGGTTGAAGAGGGCAGTGGGTGTATTGGCTGAGGACTTTGTCCAAAACACCTCCGGCTGCCTCCTCCGAGCCTTGCGAGAGCTGAAGCGAGTCGACGAGATCCTTCAGGTCCCCAAATGGCCCTTTGATCGTGCTTTGCTGATGAAAGTCTTGTGTCGCAGGGATGCTCAGCTTTTTGGGCCAATATGGACGGCACTGTACAGAAGCTTGCCCAGATGAAGGCACTCTTTGCTCGAAATTGCTTTCTGTGAGGGCCTGTGACATGATGCCACATCGCAGGAGCACACTGAATGCCTCGTCAATTATGCGAACAGCAGCAGGCTCTTGAAGGTGCGTTCCGGAAACCGGTGTTTCGCCAATGCCGATGCAGGTGATTAGAGCGCTGAGCCTCTTTTGGTGCATTGTTTGCCTTGTTCTCGTCGTGCCTGCTGAAAGGAGAGATTCGACCAGCGACTTGCAGAATACACGACCTTCTGGACATCCCTCGAACGACTATGCAGGTCTTCTTCAGCTGCTGTTGTCAGATTTGCAAACTGGCAAGAATTCAAGAGGCAATACTGCATAGACTACCAGACGTTTTGCAAGAAGATGCAAGACACCATTCGAGACGTGCGGGCACTTGGTGCGATGCGGGCACGCTTCGTTCACTGGCTCCTAAACGTGTAATTTGCCTAGGTGTCCGATGCGGCTGATGTCTATGACACAGCTCAGAGCGTTCGGCTCGCGGCTCAAGTAAAGCTACTTGTAGGTTGCAACCTTGCTAGCAAAAAACTGTCCCGCGTCTCGTTGACAGGATGGGCGTGGCCAACGGCTACCGAGAAAAGGAGATGAGGAGATCAGCCATGCCAAGCAGTGCACAGTACTGCCTGCTTGCATATTCTCTGGAGGAGAGGCGGCTATGTTGTGCAATGACAGGATGAACATTTGCATGTTTCCAGCAGCTCCATGTCTACCAGAGTTTTCCAACGGCTTCACGTACCAATGAGAGTACGGTAAAGCTTGCCGTCCTGGCAGATTGTCGTGCGCTAACGTTGCCGCACTGGTGCTTATGCTGGGGCCATCCTCGGCAGACCTTACTCGTAGACGAAATTTGAGAATCAACCAGTGAAAGCTGCGTGTCGCGCGCAAACAGGTTCGCTCAACCTTTGCAGGGGAGCACTGGAACAGCAGCGAGGGGAGTGCCCGGACAACGTGTAATAAAGCAATGCAACGTAATTTCCAAGGCTCCAACCTGCAGAAGGCAGATGCATGCATGCACTGACATGAAGTCTGCTCCATCGATGCCGAGCGCCGTTGCACAACCAAGCGGTGCTGGTTGCCAAAACTTGGCAGGCTGACTTGCTCTGGTTGTCCACTCCTAGAGTACCCTGGATCCTGCCACGAAAAGCTTGCAGTCCGTCAGCCTGCCTGCTGATGTCTCAGTCTTTCTTGTGTGACAGGATGTGACAGGGCTTAGGCTTAGGTGTTGATGTAAAGAGAAGGGAACACACTCGTGTCTTCGGCTCGAGCAACCTGCAACGTTGTCCGAGATTTTATGTCAGTCCTTTCTGGCAGATGGCCTCTGCACAGTTGAGGTCAGCGGCTTCAAGAAGGGACAGCTGACAGGTGCTTTGTTCCCACACTTGTGCTGCTTTGAGGTGGTTCCTCGTGGCCAGCCTGCACGGCACTTAGCCCAAGCTCGATGACCAACCCAGCTCTCAGCTGGATGATGGATGCACGCAGGCACGTTGTGGCGACAGCTGTGGCCGTCGAGTCGCAGGCTGTTGCTGTTGGCTGAAATCCCATAAGCCCCCTTCAAAGACCATACAAGTGGCACCTTCGTAGAAGGCAGTGGAAGTGCAGCCCGGAGGTGTCCGCTTCTCATCTGCGAGCACTGCATTCTGTTTTGCAGAGCTGGCTTTCGGTAAGGCCGTGCTTCTGCGGACAGAGAAGAGCGAGACGAACCAGCCCATAGCCACGTGCAAAGGCCAGTTTGCAGGACCTGCGGGACGTTCGGGAAACTCTTACAACCAGGGCCAGCCCTGTTATGCAGCCCTGCCTCAGGACACTGCGAGTCCTTTCTGGAAGATGAACCTCGTTGTCGCTCTGCCTATGCCCTTTGGCCTGTCGAGTAGACTCCTGACACTTCCGGGCCCTTGAGCGACTGTCCAGGCCCACTGCGAGGCCAAGACTTGCTTGCAGTGCGCCTTTGCTGAAGGCAGATGCGAAGGACCGGGCTTCGCAAGCAGCTCGGCATGAAGTTCACAGCTCACACATGATGAACACGCTTCCCTCCCAATGCGAATTAGGTTTTCGAGGGTGGGCATGATTTCTGGAGCATTGGCCTTGCACATTGAAGGTACATGCTACGCGCCTGGAAGTGCCTAGTCAGCGAACACTGCGGCAATGTGCTCGCTCCGATACGTCGCAGAAACAACGAGCATGCCAGCTTGACAGCTTGACTTGCTGCAGTTAATCTGCTGCTAGGGGAGTAGGGCCAGGATCTCGGCATGCTATGTTGCTAAGAAAGCCTTTCCGATTCCTTTTGCTGATTGCTGGCTGGACGTCACCCTGCTCCAAGATCGCCAACACAGCAACAGCCCACGGACTGTAACAGACCCTACTCATCGCACGACTGCCATGCTCCAGAATCCTGGTCAGGTTGCTTCCAGTTAGGTTGCGAACCCTAACATCCAGCCGCAACACTTCCTCTTACTTTCCCGGCAGGATGCATTTGCAAGGGTTCAGGATCGGAATACAGAATCCGTGCTTGTCCCTTGCGCAGTTTAGACGCTACCGTTACCGTTCTCTTGCTTCTTTCCAGCAAGCATTGTGGTACCTGCACCCAGCGAATGGCACCTTCTTCACATGGCTTGGATGCGCTGGGATCCCTTCATTTGCAGCCCATTCAGACCGGTGCCGCGGCATCGAAGTTATGGCACAGAGCTTCGGAAGTACGCCTGCGCTGCTTTGCAAAACATGTCACTCCAGTACCATTGGTTTCGATGCACCAGGCTTTTTCTCCTTCGATCCGGAAGTGTGGGCCCTAGCAATGAATGCTGGCCAGGGACAGCCTACCCCTGGCCTTCAAAGGGGTGCACCTTCGATGTGTGCACGGTCGGGTTGAGTCTGGGTGCCGCTAGCAAAACTCTCTGCATGCGACCTCGTGCTAAGAAGCTGCTATGTGCTGGCGGCGGTCCCTGGTATGACTGCAGTTCCCTCCTCAGCACTTACGTCGAACAGACCTGCAGCAGACATTGCACAGAGAGTGAGATGCGAGATGTGCCATTGCGATGGAACACTAAGGGCTGAACAAGTGGGCATGATTCTCAGCTGGTGTATCCTGACGTTGAGCTCGCTGCCAGCACACCGCTCTTCTTCCAAGGGCGACCACGTTGTGGCATGTGAAAAGTGGTGTGGCATGCCGCCCCTCATACCTCTCTTTTGGTTGAAGTCAGCAAGGTCCTCAGTTCTGCCTTCCTACTGCTCGGCTGATGGCACCGTTTCTCATGCCGAGATGTTCACCGATTGCAAGTTCACCAACATGCACCCAGATGATGATGGCCACTTGATGCTTATAATAGACACCTTGTCTCACTGGATTGCGGGTTGCCAGTGGCCAGGCTTCTTCAAGCTGCCATTGTGCGCTGCCCAGCACGAAATGTGCAATTAATCTCTTCACAGGTGATCAGAGTAGCCGTTACTGCGACCCAGTCCCGACATTGGTGGGCTGATCAAAGCGAAGATGGCGCTCCTCAGCCCCCTGAGCGCCACTGGCTCGCTTCCCGCGTGGTCCGGCGCTTCTGTACTTCTGTTTCAATTGACACCCAGCTGAGCCGCCAGAGTTCGAGCCTTGGCGGGGCTGGCCCATTCGAGAGGTGCACGCCTTACGACGCATGCCAGTCGAATCATCATGAAGTTTTGCTTTTCTTTCTGAGAGTATCGTAAATGATGTTGCTGCCACCGCTGTTTTGAGGAGGATCCCATGAAGTTTGACCCAAACGGCGGGTTGCCGGATGATTCCACGAGGGAAATCACGCCGGAGACCCAAATCTTGGCAACATCCCGGATAGATCTTAGGTTGCCTCGAGGTATATCTGCAAGAGTCCGGGATCCTTTGTCCTTTTGATAAGGAAAATCTGTTGTCAAAAGCCGACGAAAAAGTGCCTCACCGCTGGCTCCCGAGCTTCTCCGAGCTTCCGTGCAAGGTAGTCGCTGTGCTACAGAGGAGGGAACTAGTACTGTGGCTTCAAGCTTCGTCTCTCCTGACCAGATCGGGGAACCCACGGTCGTGGTGAGGGCGCTGCCTGCCGCGGTCGCAACGCTGTTTGCAGATGAAGGCGACCTCGTTTGCGTGTATCGTGTGACGAATCTTGGACTCAAACAGTTGCCTGGCCCACAGGTCTCCTCACGGCACGTGCCCCAGGACTTGCTCTCTTGAAGCTTTCATGGCGGCCGTGCCATTATTTTCCTAAACCAGGTGCAAAGATCCCACCGTGGGGCGCCGACGCAAGAGCGAAGGCTGCGAGGCAGCCCGGCAGTCCTGGCGCTCCTACGCCGTGACTTTTTAAGGCCCCCCTTCGTCGCTTCGTGTTCAGGCCGAGGCCGAGACGCCCAAAGAGAAGCCCAGGAGTTCCTTTGAGCCCGTGGCGGCCGTGGCGGTGCAGTCCAAGCTGTGCCGCTGCGCCTGAGCGCCTGAAAACGACCGAAGATCTTCGATGCGTGTGCTCGGCGCAAAGAATCTTCAAGAATTTCACATCGCGTTCCGCCCCACTTCAGGAAGTTCCGCAAGCTTTCTTGTCGGTTCGGCACGAAGGAAGAAGAAACTTGGCCATTGGCCCATATTGAACATAGTGCAAGCAGACAAGTTCCCTACACGAGCCATGTGTTTTACTGCCAGAGTAGTCCAGAGCCAGAGCACGCAGGCGAAGCCTCTTGCATGCCTGGACGCGTATGTGCACTCCAACGCTTATCAGTATCAGACACTGCACGGCTGGCCCCGTGCGGCGACCTCTAGACTCTATAGCCGAATGTTGGCATCAATGGCGCTCTCCTGAGACCCGCCGCAGAGAGGGTGCCCTTGACCACATGGCAGCCGAGCTGGCTGCCGAATTCTCAGCCAAAAAGCACTCAGACACTTTCGGCCTTCCAAGAACAGACGGTTGTCAAAGGAGCCTGGCAACGAGGACGGGGAGGTGCATGCGAAAGAAGCGAAGTCACGACTCTGTGCAGTCCAGCCTAGGGTCGTTGATGCGGCGCTAGGCGAAGCCAAAGCCGGATGTGGAAAAAGTGGAAGACAACCCGAATTCCAAAGAAGATCTGAAGCTGGTTGCCTTGGATGTGGTCAAGGAAGCACCAAAGAAAGAAGAGGCCCGTCTTTTTTTATGTGTTCAATAAATTGCTTTGTGTGAAGTCTCCACAGGTCGAAAGAGAACTGGCAGTCGTGCCGCACAAGGAGGCCACCTAAATGCGACTGAGCTCTATGTTATCGATCTGCGAGCATGTGCTGTTGTCAAGATGAACACGCTCCGTGGCATGAAGCCTAGAGTTTACTCAACTTCAGGGATTCTCTGTGTGACCAGTCGCTGTGAGTTGCTCTCCAACGCGCCATTCGTGACTGCGCGGACTGCGACGGAGTCCAGCATCAATGCTCGCAGGCTGCAAGCCGAGCGGGCGCCAACCGGAACAGCCTGGTGTTCCTCGGCTGAAGAACTTGGCGCAGTCAATGGCCCCTCAGATCTGTGACTGCATGAGAACTCGCCCTTAGCCTTATACCGAAATACCCATGGGCTTCGTTTCTCACAGGGACTGAATGTTGTAAACATGTACATGTGTTTAGTTTTCCTCTATTGTGCTGCCTACTTACTGTAGTGAGGCCCCTCTTCGTCGAGGAGAGAGGCCATGGTAAAGACGGTGAGCTGCTCCGCGACTTCATCCTTCGCAGGGTGCATCTCAAGCAGGAGATTTCCCTACGCCTCGGCTTATGGTGCTGTATCAAGTATCGCTTTGGCGCCCGGTCCCCGCAAGGACTTTCGTGATACAGCTCTGAAGCGCTGGTTAATTCGCGAAGACTTCTTCGACGAGTTCTTTCCGGTATCGCTGGCATGTCCCAAGCCTTTCCGCTTTTGCTCGGTCCTCCCTAGTCCCACATGGCTCAGCTATCCCTTGATTGCAAATTGCACAAGCCAACTTCCCCTGCGTGCTGCTGCCATCTGCTCCAAGTCGCATTGCGCAGGAGTACGTCAAGCAGTATGGCGTGCCAGGCGTGGCATTGCATTCCCATAAGCTTGGGGCGCCCTTTTGTGGCACCGAGGCTCCAGCCAGAGTGAGGCTGAGTCGGAGAGAATGGAGCAGCTCGCAGGAGACTTAGAACCTCCGCCACCTCGAAGACCAAGCGAGCACAGGTTGCAGAAAAGGGTGCCGTTGCATCCGAGGCAGAGGAGTGTAAGGATATCTTGGTACCCTCAACGCACCCGAGGAAGAAGGCCGCGGGACGCCAGTGAGCCACACGGTCGTGGAGCTTGAGTACATGCCGAGCAGGTAACTGACCTGGAAGCGGTGGCGACTTCCACGGATGTATTGGGCTCGGCATCTTTACATTCATTTGTCTGAGTTCAGATCGAGTGTCGACCGTGCATTCCTGCAGGTTTACCAGCTTCGTGATACGCTGCTAGTTGCCGTGAAGGAGTCCTTGTCCGTAACCAACATGGGACTGTCCAAATCCGCTACGGAGATTCAGGACCTGACAACTCCGCGGAGGTTCTTAGGACTGGCGTCAAACAGTCTCATGCCCGCAGCCCAGACCCGGAATGAAGAAGTTTCAGCAAAGGTTTTCCAGCGTGATTTGAGGTCAGACAAAGCCAAGGACCAGAGCTGGTGCTCTGGTGCTCCGATTCGCCGACGCTCCGGCCCGCCCCCCACCCCCCCAAAAATGAGCTTCTGAAGGAGACCCTGGCCCTGGCTGAGCAGCGGCGGCTGCGCAAAGTCGCAAGATCCTCAGCTGGATCCCTCAATGGGGGTTCCTATAAAGTACCCTCAGAAGTATAGGCCCATATATAGGCCCCCAAATTAGGGGGTCTACTTTCTATGTCCTCTCCAGCGCAGAAGTGCCAGTCACAGGTGTTCCAGTGCCTGAAGGGCATCTGGGAGTCTGGCGTAGGAGGGGAGGCACCTGCATGATCCTGCATGCTCGAGGGTGGGGACTTGGGCCACTGCAGATGGGAGGTCTTGAAGATGGCCATGGATGCAGTCAGATCTCGGATCGAGAGGACTTGCTAGGGCTCGGACGGGCGCAGAATGCTGCAGATTTCAAGTCCCAGCATGCAGGTTCAAGTCCAAAGCAGGGGAATCCAGCGACGTCATCCAGGCCATGGCAGGTGGGAAAGTGTAGCGCGATTCAAGCATGCGAAGATGAGCAAGCAGAATGTATTCTTGCCATATTGTGGGTGAACGGCTCAAGTTCCAACGCTCTCCACAACAGTGCACACGCGGAATCTTAATGTGTGCCTTGCTTTGATCGCAATTTCGTGCTGATTCGAAGCATGGAATCCCTCGAGCGCTCGCTTGTTGACCTTCCAAAAGCTGCGGCTCGGAAGAATGAACACACCTACTGTTGACATGCATCTAGCCGGTGTTTCTTTGCGGTGTCCTGTCTCTATCTTTCTCCGTCTCTCCCGTTGATTCACGCAGTTGCAGTTTGTTTGTCATCTGCGGAAGCTGCAGACGGCAGGCACCCAGAGCCACATCTCTCTCGTTGTCCTTTGTTCGTGCGTGTGTGCGTAGCTGTCAATGCGAGCAATTACGAACTCTCAAGCATGTGCACAACTGAGGAGTTGCACCTCCACTTGGAGGGAGCGATGCGAGCGACCCTTAGGATGCATGGGGTGATGATGCAGTTTGCAATCGAGCTATGCTATCATCTTGACACCCGTCCGTCACAGAAGTTGAGTGGTCTCTTGCCGTAAGATTGGCTTGGGTGAGGTCCGGGAACGCTGACAGAACTATGTCGAAAATACGACATAGAGCGTCCGCCAGACACGTGGCACACTTAGTTATGTGACGTCGCAGTGGCGGAGTGGCTGGCGAAGTTCTGCTTTGGGCAATCGAGGCAAGGAAAGTCCTTTCCCGATTTCGATCCGCTCCTCGACCGCAGCTCAGGCTGCTCGGCTGCGCTGTTTCGATTCACACGAAGGGAGATGCGAAGGTTCGCGCGCTGCTACATCGCGGTCTGCGAGTGTCTGCGGGAGGAGGAGGATCTCAGACGTTTGGTGCGCGAAGTTGCCGAGGATTCGGCAAAGTCAGGTGCTACAGTGGATTAAAATTGGCGGAGAGCTGTATGGAGGTTTGGACATGTCTGGAATGCTAGGTGCCTTATGGATAGAACCCGCTCTGTCTCTGGAGCTCTATGCTGAGCGACTGGGCGGACTGCCTGAACTGTAGCATGCCCACCGCCGTAGCGCCCTGGCATTTGTCCCACTGGCTCAGGTGGTCTCGAGAAGACCCTGCGAATGCTGATGGCTGCGGCAGAGAATGCGGAGGATCTGACAGGGGTTGCCATAGGCTCCGTGTCCATGTCGAGCGGCTACTGCTTTTTTGCAGCGCGTCTGCACAGAGTCATTCATGCAGATTTTCAGAAGCAAAGGCTTCATCGTTTCAGCCGAGCGGCACTTGCCGATAGCGAGGGCTGACAGGCTGGCCTCAACCGCAGCTCTTCCGCAGTTCCACAACTTGAGCATGCAGTCACAGACACGCCCGTCCATTCCCTGCATCGTCAAGGCTTCTTGCTCACTCTAGCATAAGTCCGAGGATATCACCCGCAATGCTCCTAGCAGCTCAGATAACGTTTACAGAAGCCCCTCCATTCCGCGAGATGAGGTCAGGAATTTGGTGGAAAGCGGCGCGGCCAAAATCAAAGGAAGACCAGGCATTGTTGGCTTTGGATTGCATGGCGCCGAGGCCTGCTGTGAAAGCTGTTCGTGTATCAACTTGCGACCGCTTTATCAAACACATTCGCCCACCGGCAAACGCACTGAGAGAGCCAGAGCCTTGAAGACCACGTTCTGAGTTGAAAAGTCGCTTGATCGAATAGCCAAGACTTGCGACAAGGATCAGAATCAGGGTGCGTCGCTTCCAACCATGATCGGCGATTGAACCGGCGACTGTTCTAGAATGGGTCTTGGCACGTTCGCGCTCCGCCAGGCTGGAAATCCCCCGGAGCCCTGGAAGGAGGCGTTCCAGGTCGCCTGCGCTTCCGGCATCGCCGCTCTGCCACATGCCGGGGAGTTTCCACCGTCTTTGGAGCCGGGAGCTGGAGCTGCGAGCGCGAGAACCTGAGCCGAAGCTCTGCCCCTCTGTGGGAGCCTGGTATAATCGGTTGACCCTTGCCCTGCCGAGGTTCGCTTCTGCGTCGACGTGTTGGGAGCCCGGCGGATAGCGCATGGGGTGCTGGCAGCTGACGACAGCACCCTCATCGCCCACCTGGCCAAGCTCAACGTGTGCTCGGAGCCCGGCAAGTACAACGCGTTCATGGAATCACGGTATCATGAAAGCAGATTGCGTGTTTACCACTTCAGCGCATGGGTGCTCGGGCAGAGGTCTTGATGTTTGCCCGACCAGCAACCAGCTGCTCGGGACAGTTGGTGGAACGGATCTGCAGTCGCCACTCAAGCAGTTTCTTGAGGCGGGTGTGCCACGGCCCCAGCACTCCATATCTCTCCTCGGCACTTTATGGCGTACTCTGCGTCGTGTCGCAGTTCCGAAGATGAGTGGAACGGCAGATCCTTCGTGGTCGCAAGGGCACTGAAGTGCCCAGGAGGTGCCGGCGTGGAGGCACTTCGTCGGCTACAGCCGAGGCCTCGAGGCCTCGCAGAGCCCATCACACGAACACCCACCCACCCACCCACGCACGGACGCCGTCGCTCGCGTTTTCAAGCGCAGCGGAGTGCAGCAAGGGGCGATGCTCGAAGTATTGCTCAGAATTAGAAGGGATGTGCAACTCAGGCCCTGCACCATCAACTCTGATGACCCTTTGCTGTTTGGATGCTCCTTACTTGGAGAATATGAGCGCTGTCGGCGAGAGCTCCTTGGTGAAGTGCAGGATCCGAACTTTTACAGCGCCGTGAAGCGGGAGCCTGCACCGTGCAAAGGCTGAAGATGTCCGACGCGGAATTGGCCAAGTGTGCTGTCGCTTGGCAGGTGTAGTTATAGTTATATTTAATCGTACTAGTAGCCGTCTTAGTCTTTACTGTAAATACGTTTCAATGACCCATGCACGAACAGGCTGCATCCTTTGAGCACTCTCTGGCGCCAAGCGCCCTCAAGCAGAAGGGCCTGGAGGACATCGAGGCACGCAACAATCTGGGTTTTCAAAGTCAAAGAGCAGGATGTTGACTAGCTGACTGAGCACACCCCTGCGGCATGTATTGCAATAGAAAAGATTATGGCAACTGCAGGAACCTAAACCACCGAAAAACGTGGTCGGGGCAGAACCTAGGCCCGCGAATGATAGGAAGGTCGGAAGATGTCGAAGGCATACCGGAACAGACAGACGGCATGGCTGTCAGATAAATCAGTGTCAGAAGCTTCATCGAAGCTTCATGCAGGAGTGCCGAGTGATGGCGAACATGTTGGTTGGAAGCCCAACAAGCTGACAGGGCACTGAAGTTGTAACCACTGCACTGGGAGGTAATAGATAATGATGATTTACGCTGCACTCACGTTCGTTGCTGCGAGCTCTCAGAAGTAGGCGAAAACCGCCGCCACACCCAATTTCGAGCGGGTGGCATGTAGGTCAGATCAGCTCGAATCCAGGGCCCGGAGCAAGAAGGGCCAGAGTTGTTCCGGCAGGTGTGGCTGCAGAACAAGAGCAGCTTACGGGAAGGCACCCAGGCTGCAAGAAGATGCGCCATTGCCGAAAGCAAAGGAGGAGTCCCCAATATTCTTTAATTGGTCCTGTCGGGAGGCCTGCCGAGCAAGCGCAGTCACAGTGATGCTTTTGCGAATGCTTTGTGACCGGCCAAAAAACAGTGCGCGAAAGAAGCGCCAGCATGCTAACTTCGAGCCTCTATGCTGACGTACTTTCAGAGTAAACACGATGCGGGTGCCAGAAACATGGACCGCCATGGCAGGCCAGGAGTGGGCCCAACTGGAGGCCGCGCCCCAATCATCTACTCAACCAGCTGGATGTTGCTTGCTTCTGTCTTTTGCCCTACAGGACTTGGTCCAGACCATAGATGAGCAGGACCATGGCGAGACGTGAGAAGCGCCTTTCCCACAGCACAAGAAGTACCGTTTGCCATGCGGTCCAACCGAAGGCAGGAGGACACCGAGGGCCTTTGGGTCCTGTGGAGGGCCGACGCAACATGGCAGCATTGCTGGGGAGGCTGAAGTCACTTCGAAACATCTCAAAATTGCGCCTTTACCTGTGCTCAGCTTTCGAGCAGCGGCTTGCTCGTGGAGTTTGCAAGTCTTGTCTCCGAGCGCCCTATCCTTTGAGCAAGAGCGCTGCCTTTTTCAGAAACCTGGGAAGTTCAACACACCATGGTTCAAGAAACAACGTAGGCTTTTCAAGAACAAGGGCGGGTAGTTTCAGCAAAATGGACGGATGCGCTCACGTTTTCGGTCGACGTCCGTTTGTCTACGCGGCCCCGCGTGCATTCAAAGCTAGTTTGGAAACGCATGCTGTCAAAACGCATAAGCGAGGAGACTGCCAAACCTCTCTGATCGTGCCGGCCGAAATCGATTTCCGACGCAAATGAACACGGGCGTGCCTGTGTGCATTCTGAGCCAACGTCAAAACGCATGGACAGGAAGACTTCCCAAACACAACCTTAACCCAGAGCCGTTTCGTGCCGGCCGAAGTCGTTTCTGATGCAGAATGAGTACGGGCGTGCCTGCGTGCATTCTAGCTTGGAAACGCATGTGCGGAAAGCACTGCACTCTGCATCCGTGCTTTCCTTTTTGCGAAGATTTCCGATAGAGAATATTTTGACAGGTGCACTTCTCGAGCTCGGCCGGCATCAAAGGGCTTTGGGAGTATCCCCGTGTATGCGTTTTGCGCTTTCCTTTTTGAGTCGATTTCTGATGCACGACGAATACGGGCGCGTCTGTGTGCATTCTAAACCAATGTCAAAATGGATGCACGGGAAGTACTACCTCAACCCAATAGCCTTTTCTTGAGTCGATTTCTGATGCAAAATTAGTACAGACATCATGTGTGCATTCTGAGCCGATGTCAAAAGGATTCACGGGAAGACTCCCTTGCCGTAACCGACAAGTCCTTTCGTGCCGGCCCAGCTTAGACAAACTTGACACGAATTCATGTCTTTGTTTCTGAAAATTGCCAAAGTTTTTTCAGGAAAATCCGCCGGGACTTGAGAAACATATGCCTTAGTCCTGGAAATACCCGCCGTTGTTCTTGAACACAACGACCCTTGCGCTGAACATAGCACCGTGAAATTGCCATCCCCTTTGAGCAATCCAGTTGGGATTCCGTGCCGACGTCCCAGGGCCGCCGGGGTGCCGGTTTTGCCTTGCTAGGGCTCCGCAGGGTACTTGACAAGCGGGTTCATGATAATGTTACGGAGCTCCACCGGGGACCCTTCCTTGGGCCGTCGTGCTTGCAGCAGCTTCTTGAGGTACAAAGATTGTCATCGATCGTGCAGACGCCCCGGACACTTGTAACTTGACAGTGGCGTCTGCTCTGGCCCGCACAACTTCCGATGTTGCGCAGGCATTAGACGCCTTGGGCGGCCAGGGCACCCTGCGCTCCGGTCTTACTTCGCTAAGGACCTTGACTCGACTTGCGCAGTCCAAGAACGGCTCAGGCGAGGTGATCGAGTGGATCGAGAAGAATCCGAAGGAGCTGGAAGAGCTCCGAGAAGCAAAACTGAATCGGACTGCTTGCCCTTGCACATCTGGTTCTGAGCAGAGTGTTGCTCAGAAAAGGTATTTATTCGGGCCATGCTGGCAGGAACATACGAGACGGACGGCGGAAACCTGTTTCCTGGCCAAAGAGCTAGATGCAGGACGTGTTCATGCTGCTTCTTTGTGGTCAAGCCATATGAGCATCCGTCAAAACTTCGGTAATTGTAGTTAAGAGTAGGGCGACCACGGAATGTCGGATCTTGCCAGTTTCCTTGGAAAGCGATAGGACCCCCAAAAGCGACACGATCAACGAAGATCATCGGGTGTGACATTTCCGTGCAGCGGCGACACTTGTGCCTCAATTTTCCGTATGATGTATGGCTCGGCAATCATTTCGATACCGTAATCGATACCTGCCAGATCGTTTTATCAGCCACTGCCCGACGCAGTAAAGGGCAGCACAGGCCAATGAAGGGCAGCAAAGTGCAGTGAAGGGCAGTACAGAGCAGTATATGATAGATGATAGCAGAGTCAAAGAAACTAAGGTGTGGCATTCGACCGCCGCTAGCCTCAGCAGAAGCGTTTCAAGCGTGTTTTGCCTTGAAGCTGTCAAGGTTGGTTCGACAATCGCCACCTTTCGTAAAGTTCCCCGAGCTGGCCCGTGGACGGCCTAAGTTGCATTGGACCCTCTTGACTCCGCTTATAGTCTTTCGTGAGAGAACACGAGGCCAACGCGGTACCTGAGCTCCAAAGCACCTGAGCCAGAGGACGGAAGAGTTGCTGCGCAACCCATGCGCTTCTGCTATGGTCTGCACTTCTGAGGAGTCTTGGGGTTGAAAGTGTGAGACCTGGCAAGACTGCAACACAAGAGGTCTCAGTTCTCCGAGGAGAACGCAGCAGCAAAGTACGGATGCACAGAGCCTTTAACGAAAGAGACAATCAGCCTCCACATTCCAGTTCCACACAATACAGGAGCCCACGAAGCAGCCAACACGCATGAAAGACGTGTACAATCAAACAGCAAAAACTTCATGCGCTACCGATCTCGCGTCATGCTGCCATGTGCAACGAAATGAGAACCCAGAATGGAACCACCGACCTGCTGCTGCTGCTGCTGCTGCACCTGCTGCTGATGCCTGCTGCTGCCACTGCTGCTGCCGCTGCTCCCGCTACTAACTGCTACTGATCTAACTACTTCTCCTACTACTTGCTCACTAGTCCTGCATGCGCAATTCTCGGTTTTGTGATGAAATCCGCAGTTATTTCAAACTTATTTTCGTTCGGGGCAACAGAGCCGAAGCCGACGATGCTGCACCGCAGTGATTGCATTGATGATGATGGTAACCCGGGTATGATTGTCGTCGTCCCGCTCCACTCCCCCATCATCAACAGCAGCCTCATCCTTTGTCACCATCAGTGCCGCCATCACAACCGTCACCCATGTTCATCAACATCATCATCATCCCGTCCCATCCTATCATCAAGGCGTGCTTTTCTTCGTTTTCATCTCGATTGCCAGGAGCCGATGGCTATTCAGGATGCACCTGCGGCGAAAACGAGGCCGAAAGCCTTCCGGTTGATGAAGCGACAATGAGCTCGGGCAACCCAGCTCCCGGGTGCGCAGGTCCAAGCGCGCTGCGAAGAAACAGCTTGCGGAGGCCAGAAGCCGGCTTCCCCTGTCCTCAGAGCATTTGGTGTTTTGTTGCCTTCAAACCCGATAGGGCGGCGATGACTCTGCTGGCCAAAGTGCTCCGAAGCCCAAGAGGATTCGAAAGGCAAAGGCCCCGGTCTCTCCAAGCACTTTCCTGAAGTCTTGAGAGAGCTCAGTGAGCCGCTTGCAATCATGTGACACTCGTCTGCCAGGTCAAAGCTCAAGCTGCCCCAGCAGAATCATCCGAGGCGCCCAAGGATACGGTCCCGCTGAGGACTGGAGACAGAGGGGTTAACTTTCTCTCGCCTGAGACACGTTTCCTTCATCCCCACTTGACAAGGCCCGGGCAAGCTGAGGATCCAAGCGCGCCACTGGAATGCACATCGCAGAATCCATTTTGAGTCCTTTGGGAACATGGGCCAGATGTAGCAAGAAGCTAGCAGCAAGCCACTCGAGGAACCTCACAAGTTTTTCGGGCTAGATGATGCCAGCTATGCCATTATGCATCGCCTCAGGTAGTGGACAGTGAGAGCGCACTTAGCCTCAAGCCTTTCCACAGAGTGGAAGCGCATTGTAAGATAATTCGTGCCCAGACAGTGGATGAGCCACACAGCTTGTCACTTGCATCAGTGTACAGTGCGAGGCATTGCTTTGAAAACTCTGTGGATTCGGTTGCGGGTTGGGTCTCTGCCCACCAGGGCCCACCCGACTTGAAGGGAAGGGCATGTCTTGTCTCCGAGCGATGATGTTTAGGGGATCGCTCGCATAGATCTGCCCAGTTCTTTCGTGACCTCGGAGGGCGCAAACTTCCCAATATGTCAGAAAAGGATTTTGCTGCTCGGCAATCCCGGAGCCCACAAGGACGACAAAGGAGCCCAGGCGGCGAACATCTTTGCAAAGCTACGGTATTGCTACTCTGGTACTGCTTCTACCTCCGACTTGAAGATTGCTTACGCCAGAAAAAATGGTCTTGCCATGTAAGTGCATCATAGTGCATCCGTGTGCAGGTCTCCGCTTCTTTGCATGCCTCACCTGAGATCAAGATCAGCAAAGTCCTGGGATCTCCGATGCATATGCAGGACGTCACGGCCGGGACTGCACGAGCGATATCGTGGTACGGAAGCTGAAAGTGGCTAACGGCAACTATTGCCAGGCTAAGGTACAGTAAGACGCAAAGCTGGCGTGCCGGCATCAGGGAGCACATCAAGACGTCCGAGGAAGCCAAGCATAAGATGGATCACGCGCGCACAAAACACGGAATATCGACGCACGCACGCGCACACACACACACACACAGACGAGAGCTCGCCCAAGCAAAGATAATTGTCCAGGATCAGAAGCAGAAGTCCTGACATGTTGAACTCTTCTTCGGGAGCAGTTTTTCTTCTACCGGCCCAAGCTCCAAAGCACCTTTCAAGGCATGGACTGTCTTCGGAGTTCTTTGCAGTCTTACAGAGCTACAGCTTGATTGCCACTCCGCTCCAATCTCGGATCCATGAATGGCTTCGAAGAAAGAGGCTCAAGAGTGATGTTCTCGTGCAGCCACGGAGCGACATGACCTGGTACTTTGTCCAGCATGCACTGATGTGATTTTGCATTCCGTGGCTCCTGAACTCTCTACATCGATTGCCGTATCTCGAGCTCTGTTCAGCCCGACCTCCACCACTTACCCCCACATAGTCGACACGTGACACGAGCAGGAAGGTTCCCATGTCCTTATAGCCATGCAAACTTACCATGGCCAAGGCACGGATTTTGCCATTGCACGAGTCATCACATCCGCAGCTTGGCCACAATGCGGAGGCATCGAAAGCTCGGCCATCTGGCTACGCTGCCGAACCGCAGTTGGAAGCAGAGGCAAGCCGTCTGTGGTCGCCTTTTCGTTCTTGATCTCTTGCAAAGGGGGGGAGACAATGAGACAGGTCGCCAGACTTCGCCATGCGTCTTCTCCTTGGCCGAGGCTGTCTGATTCGGTCTGCGCCCGCGGAGCACTGGAGGCTGGCAGATGCAGAGCGACAGAAGGCCGAGCTTCAGACGCAGGCCAGTGATCGCAGTGGGAACACGAACAGAGCCGCACTGTGCTGTCTGCGCATCTTCGACACTGCAAGGATTGTGGTGGCATACTCGTAGTCTCGTCTGCATTGAACATGTGCTGGTCGGCGGACCTCCTGTAAATTCTCTCCAAGTTCGGTGGTTTTTGAAGTTCTCGCTGTGGCACAGATCAAGTTGAAGCAGGTGGAATTTAAGGAATTGCCTTTGACCCTCTGGTCCGCCAGCTGTGCAGTGATGACTAGTTGGAAAAATTCGCCCTAGTTGCTCCACGAAGCACTCCGTCCAACCGAGAGAGCAGACTACGGAACACAAACATGTCCCCTTTGTCTGCAAGGTTGAAGATCTTCGGAGAGAGGTGCCGTTGCTTTGGGGCTTGCTGAAGCTTATGGAATTTTTCAAACATTGCAGGGAGGTGCACTGTGTGATTTTGGGGGTTCGAGGCAATGATGTGAGAGGTGAATGCTTGGATTGGGTGGGCCAGTTTGATTTGGATTGAGGTTTCAGCCTGCTGTTGCTCATGCTCCACTGCTTCGACCGCGCGGTGACGGCAGTCGTTGTCTTCGTAGCAGCAATAGCAGCAGCTGTGGTGTTTGGTGTTTGTGTTTGTTGTGTTGGTGTTGTTGCTGTTGCTGCCGCTGCTGCGACGGCGAGGGCGATGGCTACCGCTACCAATACTGCTACTGCTGCTGCTGCTACTACGGTTACTACTACGACTACAATTGCGATGACTACAACTTCTACAACTACAACTGCTGCAATTACGAATTCTACGACGCTGCTTCTTCTACTCCTCCTTTTGCCACTCCGACGTCCAACCCCTACTTCTGTAGCAGTGTCACCGCAAGCAGCATGTAGCACCAGCACCAGCACCACCGCCGCCTCCACTGCCGCCACCGCCACCGTCGTCATAAGCTAGCCGCAATTGTCCACGCAATTAACCAACGACAACGACTGCAACATCAACAGGTCTCCAAGATGTCAGGGACGCTTGGATGCAGTAAGTTCAGCATGTCGCAGCACCAGACGTGGAACCAATTCGAAGGTGCACGCAGGTATCTGATTTTTGCGCTACGGCTCGAGGGTCGCAAATTCGAATCACATGCATGCCGACATCGCGTGTGCCTGTTCTAGTAGATCTCCGACTCTGTGTTTGGCATTCATGCAGAGCCGGCACCAGCTCTGCCTTAACGGCTAGTCTTCAGGCTGTAGTATGTTCATGTTGGTGCTGAATGCTCAGTCGCACCCGACCACGGTCGTTCTCAGAACTTTCGAAGGCAGCTGGCCAGTCCTGGTGGTGACCCAGACGAGCGGGACAGAGCATCTTCTTGTAAGTCTGAAGTCTGAATTCTTTGCTCCGTCTCGCTGGTGTGCTGCGATTGGTTGCTGTGTGCACCATCCTGTGCATTTGGCTCAAGACTGCGTTCTATGTCAGTTTCATCCCTGGAGATCCATGGACTTCAGGTATCATACGTTGGTGGACCCTTGCATGCTTGCAGACTGCACCTTGGCATGATGCGAAAGTTCGTGAATGTTTTGACCACAGTCATGCCTGCAAGCTGAGTTGAGATGAGGTAGTCCCGAGATTTGAGAGGACGTTCTCACTGCCTGGCTTCAAGTGTATGGACACTTGTCGCAAACCGTGCGTTGTCTGCTCTTCTCGGGGTGTCGAGGAATAGGATTCGACGTTAAAACTATGACGATTGATGAAGCTGGGCACGGTGAGTCAAGCATTTAAGCAGGGACAGAAGACTTCAGAGTTCAGGGCTGCTGGCTTTCCCTTCGCGGCTTCATGGTTTTTTTTCTGATTCTTGGCTTGTGTCCTTCTTGTCCCTTGTTCTATCTCTTGGAAGTTTCCCCCCGTCAACAAAATATAGGGGCCACTGTACTCTAATTATATAATAAGGAGCCCCCAACATAGTGTAGGTATTATTCTTCTAGATGCCCAACCGCCCAGGATCCTCGCAGACTCGCGGCCTCTGCGTGTTGTCTGATCGCGGGACTACTTGCTTCTTGTTGGCAGTTGTGAGTCTTTGAATCGCTCGCCCGACAGTCCGACAACACCAGCTTGAGCTTTTACATCTTGTTTAGACAAAGTGTGTTCACAATTTGGAACGAGCTGTGTGATAAATTGGGTCCCGTCGCTTGCGTACCCAGGTTATTGCCTTGCAAGGCTGCTCTGATGAGGCTCCTTAGCTGTGGTTGCTGCAGCTTGCTCATGTCACCCTGACTTAAGTGTCCTCGCAGGAAGCTGTCGAGCAAGCAAGGGAGGATGCCATGCGAGAGGGTGAGGCTTGGGCTTGGTCACAGCTGCGTTGCTTCTGTGCCCATCGCCGAATGCGCTCAGAGCTGACATGCTAGGCACTGAAGGGAGTTCAGGATGCCGTCAGCTACCGGGCCGCAAGCAGGTCTTACCACGGCTGTGAAGCCCTCATTCTCGAGAAAAGGTGAGTACAAGGAACAGAAGAAGAAGACACTGGAAGCGCGGGACAACGTCCAGGCAAAAAAGGACTCAAGGGCGAATGAAACTTGCAGTCCTTGAAACATGCCATCACGACGCGACGGAAAAGGTTTAAGTTTATAGGGTGCGAGTTGCCCAGATTGCCGATTGCTGTCAGGATGGCTTCAGCAAGGCACCATGCAGGGCAAGCTCAACTGCCCCGAGAATTGTCCTCTGTCCCTGATGTTCGGCTGAAGGTTTTGGCAGACGAGGGCAGGAAGCCGGAAGGAGACGAAGCCGTAACCCCAAGCACCGAGGGTGAAGACGACGTGATGTTGTCAAGAAGCATCGGCCCCAAGGCAAGCGCTCTAGACGATGCCAACAAGGCGCCCGCGATTTTGGCACGTCCGACCGTTGGTGATAGGCATCAAAATTCTGTTTGCTCGGTGCCAGAAGGTTCTCAAGGAGGAGGCGGCTGGGGAGCAAGCCGAGAATGCCGTCGAGCACGGTGAGGCCACGGCCAGCAACGACGGACCGTGTTGGAGTGAGGTCCTTTCCCTGACTTGTTTGCCAGGCTCCTCCGAAGAAAGGCAGGGATCAAAAGGGAGCCACGCGGAGTTTACGACTGGCACACATCTTCCGCAGAGCAGGCTCAAGTCTTCTGGTGACGTTTCCGAGGCACCGGGCCGGTAAAAGCCAGAGTGGGCCGTAGAATTTGAGACGGAGCGACCCGCGACCTTTTTCCTTTGAGCCAGCATATCCTCCAGGAACGTATCTTTTTCGTAGCGGAGTGGGAGCTGTTGCCTGTCACTCAGGAAAAGCAGATCCCGCGCTCGAAGGAAGCTGGAAGAGGTCTTCCTGCCGGATACTTACGGACGTTCTTCGAAAGTTCTCAATTGCTCCTGATACAGTACGTGGGTGCAGCACTGTCGGGCACTCTCACTGAGAACTGAGGCCTACAGACGGACACGAGAGCCGCCGCCCCTGAAATTTTCCTTTCAGAATCAGGCACGGCATCAGACGGACACGCGATGTTGGAGACGAAAAAGAAGCGCGGTGCATGCTCGGGTGCGCCAACCAAGCGATGGGCTCGATCTCTGGGTCGCTGCTCGAGGACAAGCAACGCTTGCTCGGGCACCTCCGTTCGGAGGCGCAGCTGCTCTCGGCTGCTCTGAGTGTCCTCCCGCTGTGCATTCCGCCCCCGAGGCGTACGTCGAGCTGTTCGCTTCTCCAATCGCGGGCGTCGGAGTGCGTGCCTTTCGGCCCGAGCCTGAGAGACACCGCGCTTTCTACGAAGTAGAGGAGATGAAGAGATGAACCTCGCCCCAGGCAAATGACCAGCTTCCCCTCCAACCAGCTTCCATCACCTTGAACCCCAGCTCAAGTTTGCGATCCCCGCCCAGGCAGATTCCTGAGGGAGTTGACCCCTTCCCGATCTGCAACCCACACATGGCGGCGAAGGACGGCTGAGGTTGCGGTGAGCCGACGAAGCTATTGACGACTCATGCCAGTGCCGTTGTGCTCGAGCCACGGGCGTGAGAGAAAGCACAAAACGCAAACATGTTTTGGGGGTTCAGCAGATGCTGGGAGTCCGGCTGACCAGAATCCACGGTTGTGGCATTCCCTTGACAATGCGATGCTTCGAGCATACATGCTTCATGCTTCCCGGGCGGCGCGCTTTTCGCGATCCTTCTCAGGTGCTGAGGAGAAGGGCAGGCCATTCGCGGCTTTTCTGTAGAATATTGAGGTACGCCAGGTGTTCGACTTGCCACCAAGCGTGTAGGAACAGGCTCGGAACAAGTATGGTATCAAGGCCCAACCCATGTATCCCAAAACCCAGTCAGCCCCATTGACATTCTGTGAATTGAGCATATGAATCCAAAAGGCAGGCTCGACAATGTCGTGCCTCTCTGCTGGCCCAGCTCGGGGTGTCTTTGCTGCATGCTGGTGTACTGCTGTCTGCGACAATCGATGTACCAGCCTCACCTCGTCATAGTCCAAAACAGCGCATGCCTGACTGAGGAGATAGAGAGATGCGAGCAAGTGCTCCCGTGCTTGGCACAAGAACCAGACGGGCGCAGCGAGAAGTTTGTGAAGGCAATGAAGGTGCTTGGGGAGCTCCGGGACTTTCAATACTTGCTGAAGGTCTGGAATCTTTCGCGCCAAAAGAAGGTTAATCTCAAGCTGTCAGCATACGCCATACTGATCGAGGCTTTGGGGAAAAGCATTGGGCGGGAGCGGCCTGAGATCAGAAGGCTTGGTCTTACGGCAGGCAAGAGAGCATGGCAATGGATGCTACACGATGGGCACAAGCCGGATGCTATCACAGTGAGGGCTGCTCTGCACCTCTGTGCAAAAGCCGGGGATGCAGCCTGGGCCGCACAGCTCTGGGAAAGCACGTCGAAGTCAAGCACTGCAACATGGAATCGCTACTTGGAGACTGTTTCACGCCATTCTGGTCCGCAGGGCTGGGAAACTGTGGAAAGAGAGCTGTCAAGCTGCGTCAACGCGGCAAGAAGTTCGAGGCTTGTGCCAGATTGCATCACGCTGTCCGTTCTGGTTAATGCGGCTGCGGAACAGAACGACATGAATCGTGCTGACGAGATATGGGAGCTCTTGGCTTCAGCCGTAGAGCCGACGGCTGAAACCTATGCGGCGCGATCGAAGAGCTTGCTTTTGGGAGGAGGGCATGAGCGTGTTTTGGGCCTTCGGGAGGAAATGCAGCAGAAGTCCATCTCGCCAATTGCTCGCAATATTTTGCACGAGGTGCAAGCAAGGCTGCTCCTGCTGCACCAGCATCCTGAGGATCGCTCTCTTTACGAGCGCCTCCAGGAGACCATCGAGACGGCACAAGGAGAGGCCAGGGCGGTGGGCCAGGAGGCTCTGCAGCTCCGGCAAATGCAAACCCTGGCCGGAAGCATCTGGAACGGCGAGAGACTCGATTCTCGGCAGTGTGTGGCCTTGTTCTCCTTTCGGCTTCCTGTGGCCGACCCGACACATCCATCCTTAATCCCGAGTGCCGTTGCAGCCGAGGCATTGGACAAGGTCCGCGTGCTGGCCTGGCGTTGGCCCACAGAGCCTGCACCGAGCAGCGCAAGCTGAAAAGTCGCCCAGTTGCCAATTCCATGCCCCGGAAACGTTAGGGTCAGGGTTTTGTGGGAGGCAGCCTCGGACCAGCATCAATATAGCGCGCGATCACTACACACAGCAGAAGAACAGTTTAGTCTGCGAGGCTTGACTGCCTCTCCACGCCTCATTTGTCACTTCAACCACATTTCCAGAGTTCGGGTTATGTGTGTATATATGTATATATGTAAATATGTGTATATATATATATATATATATATATATATCGAGCTTGTCTATTGATATGGGTCAAGGTTGAGCAGGGTCGAATCATCATGGGAAACTGCGTGGGATTTGATTCAGACAGAGTGATGCTGACCCCGGCCGTGCACAGCGTTCACTGACTTGAAAAAAATGTGGCTTTCAGCCCGAATCCCACAAGATAATTTGCAAGAATACGCAGCGAAGTTTTGCCATTTCCGGCAGCTACAGTAAGTCCCCAGTTACTGAACAGGAGAAGTTCTGCACTTGCTCACATGCAGAGCTTCGAGTCTGAGACTCAGTTTCTGCCGGCATTTGTCACAGCAGGGAGTGACTCTCACGCTCACTCAGTGCTCACGCAGAGACATGCAGAGACACCCAGACGCACGCACGCACGCACGCACGCACGCACGCACACACTTGACACATCGTGTCGCAGGTCTGATCTGTCGGTGCATACTGTCAGGGAAAGTCAGAAGCTGTCAGGGAAAGTCAGAAGCTGTCAGGGAAAGTCAGAACATGCAATCAGAAGCACTACCATAGGGTACACGCGAATCACTCATGTAACTGCACATGAAACTGCATATGAAACTGCACTGCACTCCTACCCGCAATCAACAGTTGTGTAGTCGCAAGCTGCACAAATGTGCCCATGCCGACCACTGCAGGTACGTTTACCTGTCTCAATATCACGGAGCTTCATTGGCAGAGGCCGTGAAATGAGACCCTCTGCCCCCTGCTGCTTAACTCACTCACATCTCTTGGAAACAGAGTTGGACACACACAAGCCCCGAGGGGCTCCGTGCAATGTTGACGGTCGTTGCGCGCTGTTTTATCTCACCGATTTTTCCATCGGAAAGTCTTATGCTCAAGAGATCAAGGAAAGTGGGCTACGAAACTTCAGGAAGTGCAGTCTGTACACTAAGTGCAATTCAACTTCGGCTTCTTCCGCATCGGCATCGAAGTACATGCAACACTGAGTTGCAGTTTGGTACGCAGCATTGGCCAATGACACGATACTCACTCGCAAACTCTCCTGTGCTAGTTCTACCACAGCTCGCATCCACCTTTTTGAAGGGCTGCCCAACATGGTGCAAGCCACGGCATTGATTTGGACAAAACGGATGGTGGTATGCAAAGACTGAAAACCCATGGTCAACTCAACCGAGGAAGACAGCCGAAATTCTTGTACCCCACGTTGCAGGAACGTGTACGCCACCATGGTGTCGGTTATGGGTTGTGCCTCTTCCGGGTCGTCATTTCGATCGAGGCGAGTAATGAATGTAATTCTGGCTCTGATCGGCAACACGTACGTCAAGATGTTCTCGAGCACGTCAGAAGCGGCCCAATCCATGTTGTTCAGAATCTACAAAACTTTCAGAGTGCTTGATACAAAACTCTGTTACATGTCTGATGAAAGCAGCTCCCAACACCGCAGCACTTGCACATCTCTGACATGTCACTCTGCACATTTCTTGCACCGCACTTGCACGAACCTCGCACGTCCCTTGCACATCACTTGCAATCCGCTTGCACATCCCTTGCTCATCACTTCTCTTGACATGACGCAGAGGTGGACTCTTTTTATACCGTCACAACGAAATCGACCGGTTCACGGGTTTGGGCAGTCGTTACAGGTTCAGTAAACCGAAGATGGCGAAAGTTTTGTACAAGCTGAAAAGTGTGTAACCTAGGCCACCAGCCAAACTTCTCCCAGAGCTGCATCGCGACGGGGTATTTGGCAACGTTGATGGAATCGTTGATTGATAGCTGGATGTGGAGAGTAATAGTCTCGTGTCCAGTTGCCCGACTGCAGACACGAACCCACATCCGAAAAATGTAGTCACGGCTCATACTCCAAGGCAGATTGGCTTCACGGGCCTTCCGCTTCATGTTGGGCAACCTACACAGTTTCACTGGATGCCAAATGCTGCAACTCAAGACGATTCATGCAGGAAACTGATAATGCACAGCACGGCAGACGCGCACTCTTCAGTTTCTTCCACTGTCTTTGTCCGCTCTCTCACTTTCGGTCTAAAACGTACTGCACAAGTTTCAAAGTAGACGAAAAACGCTTCCTAGGGCCTTGCTTTTCTTTGGCAATGCGTTCTCCATGTTGTCTCAAGAAATCGAGAATGAATTGGGCTCTGTTGTGAATGAAGAAATCGTCACCAAGCACTCTCGTGCCTTCCATTCTACGGCGAAATTGGGTACTGGGTGCAGGACGAATCTTGATGCGCACACCATCAGAGCCTTCATCAATCATACGAAGCTTGCGTTTCCGCGGTGGGTCCGTCTGCAACATGTTGGTGTGCTCTGCAGTGGACTGGTTCGGCTTTGGAACATGAACTAATCGACCAGAGGACATTGACGTAGACTGTCGGTCAATTGACGATGACGCATTGGTACTCTCATGATCAAGAGCAAAATCAGCCGAATCAGGATCGCTGACCAAGGTAGCACCTGATGCCACATCTGCACGTCGATCATGTTCTTGGTCCGACACTGCAAGGTCTGACGAAAAGTCGGAAGAGTGCACGTCCGATACAGAGGCAACATCGCTCTCGAAACTGGACACCGACATAATTGAAAGCTACTTGTACGTTCCAAGTCTTTCTTGTACTGCAGAGTGCCTTGAGGACATGAATCAAGACAGTGTCTGCAAACGCTCACAACACATGGTGCCGGCAGATCGCTTGTATAACCCTTGCACATCACTTGCACATCACTTGCACGTCCCTTGCACATCCCTTGCAACACCCTTGCAGTAACACTGGCGCACAGAACCTTCTTTGCAACTGCTCACGTTTCACTCTGAGACTTCAATCACTGCTGGGAGTGTTGGGGGCAACTCTGAGGATTCTTGCAGCTGGAGAGAATTAACATAATGGGAAGTCACAGATTGAATGGAATGCAAATCCGTCAGCAAGTTGCCCACCACTTCGTTGGTCTTCTGAAGTTTCTGAAACAGTTCTGTGATGGCAGACATGACTTCTGCCACCTGAGACTCAGTGTCCCTGATTTGTGTGGTGAGCACGTCGAGTTGGGCCTGTTGGATCTTTTGGACGGAGATAGCTTCTTCCCGAAAGTGACGAAATTCACCTCTGATTGTGATCAGCTCCTGTTGTGTGTAGGAAATCCAGCGTTGAAGAGGTGCCAACGGGTCACACGCTGAGTTGCTCGACATTAGTGCAATGGGACGACACTTGAGCAGGATGCTGCAACACTGTTCTGGTATGCAATACAACATGAATGAATTGATACTCACAGCCCTTGCATCCGATGCACATTCTTTCCTCACTGCAGAACTCACATGCGTCACAGATACAAGCGAAATCCTGTCACTCCGGACATACTTAGCTGAGATCAGACGATTGACTGCGTCGAAATCGGCGTGATTCACGCCTTCTGGTAGGCATGGGTTTGGATCTGATTGGAGTACCTGACGTAGCTGAAGATGTAGGCGCAGCCGACGACGAAGCGGTACTCGACACCAAAGGAGGGTCAGACGCACGATGCCCCAAGCTTCCTGGTGGTGTTGGGGGGGGGAAAGACGGGTGCACTGGCACTGGGTGGGGGGAAATTGGGAGGGGGAAGAGGAGGAGGGAGGGGAGGGGGAGGGAGAGGGGGAGGGCCAGGGGGAGGCAGGGGGGGAGGTGTGGCGCTGGAAGATGGGTTGTCACTCCCTGCAATCGGCACACTCCTCATTGCTGGCTGAGGGGGTGGAGGTGCATAGGGATGGGATCTGCAATTGCCACTGGACGAACGTGATCCTGAAGCTCCACTACTGCTAGGACGTTCTTCACGTAAATTTGCTCTATCCCTCTCATCCAAACGACGCAACTCTTGCTGCAGCATTCTTTCTGTACCGTCACGCACAAAAGCTGTCAATTGAAGTACAAGGGCTTGTCGAAGTTGAGGTCGTGATACAAAGTTGAGCAATCTCACACGCGCTGAATGAGTGAGCATTCTCAAGAACTCATCGATGCTAGGATCCGAAGGTGGCACCGTCGGCATGCTTGCTTTCACAGATGTTCTCGTCTCTTAGCCAAAAACACTGCGACGCTGACAGCTGCAAGTCTCTCACAAATGAAGAACTCAAATCAAGACATGCTGCATGCGTGTCCGCTGTCAACTATCAACTGACAACAGACGCACTTTTACCGTTTCATCAAAGCTTCACACAAGCGAAATGGGTATCCAAGATTCGCTAACCACCGTACAAAAGTGTGGACAGCTACTTCCGCTTGGCACGTTGGCCAAGTGTACTTACGAATAAGAGAAATTCTCGACTTCGCACCTGACACCAGCAATCGATCGCTACCTGCACTCATGGGATGTCGAACTTGCCAAAGGAACTTGGGCTGGAGATAGTAAATCGTTCGGTTTCGGACATCGATGTCAAATCCCAAAAAGTGACCATCACCGACAGCTTCAAGTACAATCGGAGAACCATAAAAGGTCTCTTGGCTGAAGACTTGAAAAGGCACTGTTTTATGCACTTCGGTGGGTGCAATCACCAGTCTGTTGTCTACATATCTTGCAAGAAAAGTGGAAGGGAAACTCGAGATCTGCGGGAACGTTGCTGCCCAACCGAGCTCAGTCATCACCAGTGGAAGGGAAGAGAGGACAGGACTGATTTGGTTACCAACTGACGTGCCATCAACTTGTTTCCACACTCGATTCAACGCCACAAACAAGCCGCATTCGAAGCTGAGACGAACAATGGTGACCAAGTCGTATGGATCAATGGTCTTCCAATCGAAGTGCCGACG